GTCTCATCAGTCAACGGCTTCTGGATGATGACAGCACACCTCTGGCAGAGTATTGCATGCGGGGATACAATGCTGTCTACATAAAGTTGAGACCACGACAATCGAAAACTGTTGTCACCTTCCACGTTGGGCCGGATGGATCTACAAAGCGCATTAAATCCACTATTGTTGATGGAGAAAGATTTCACGGTATGGCTTTTTTGTATCTGTAATCAACAATTTCTCAATATGACAAATATTCATCTAAGTCACCGCATATTACTGAAACTATTCAACTTGTCTGACAAGTGTTGACCAGATTCAAACTTCATTGCAACTGAAGATTAAGGTTGATTGCCAGGGTAGTAATGCTTGACTACTCTTCTCATGACCTCTTGAAGCATTCAAACGGTACATGCAGAACAACCTGTCTTAACCAACAATTCATATAGTTACAATATATTTAAATATCATACTTAAATGTATCAATAATTTGTCTGTAGCGGAAGATTCTTGGCCAATTGACGTGAATTACACAGACAGTCCTAATTGTTTGAATGAAAACATCCCAGCAATTCAATCGACTGACAACATAGGTAAGATAACAGTGTTTTATTATCCTTATGAAACACCTAATCAATTATATTTACGGGGAAAGATAGTCGATATTGAACAAATCGTGAAATTTCAACCAGTGATTGTTATCCTTAGTTACATATTTCAACAACATTCCCCAAAACTGTGACTGTTATGTGCAAAACATGAAGAAGAAAAAAGAACATTAGAGAAGCCCTACTCTGAAACTAAAGCTCCAAATTGCAATTATCAGAATACTCTATGTCTTTGTTGTATTGTCAGTACTATCGCTCTTTAAATGGTACCGTATTCGTTGATATTGTTATCAGGTGAATGTAAAGTATGCAAAATAACTTACATTTATAACTTCATGCATATGTTTTATAGATGCTGCCAACAGTTCGGGAGAACGTACAGGTCAGCTATGTTACGATGGCGACAACGACAGTGACGTCCTCCATAATTGTACCCCAAAAGTTAAAGAGAAGAAAAAGGCCAGAGAAAGGGTCAGAAAAAGAAGCATTGTCGACATTGAAACATCACAAAGTGATTCTGGTTTCAGAAGCCAGGAGCCTATATCGCATTCGAGGAAAGTTGTGAAATACAAGAATGTGGGCACTTCCTGTGAACCCTTGGAGAAACCATTTGACAAATGTACATGTACAACACATTCAGAAATTGAGGATGATTTTGAAATTATTGAAAGCAAAGATACAGAAGTATTAGGTAAGTGTTTGACATTGTTGAATAACTTTCAAAAAATGGTGTGTTTCTAATATTTGAATATGCATAAAATAACGACTATTGTACATTACATAGAGCTTCCATTTGGCTACTTCCTCAGTTTTTCGTCTTTATTGTAATTTTCTTTTTTCTGAGTCAATATCCAAATAAGAATACGATTATGTAATAAAGATTATTATTACATATGATTCAATAATATGAAATGCTTTTTATTATTATCTTATACAGATGATGCCACTTTAGACAAAATAGCTAATCGTTTAGATGCATCGTGGCGAAAGACAATCAGACGTCTTGGCGTTCGTGAAACGGACATAGAGAGAATTATTGCAGAGAATCCACGCGATGTGTATGAGCAGTCATATAAGGTAAGTTTCATATCATTAGAATATAAGCTAACAAACGTATGTGCGTGTAACGTTTTCTAAATACTTGTTCAAAAAAAATTAATATAAACAATATGAATAGATGCTAACATATCTGTATTACATTTCAGGCGTTGCTGAAGTGGAGGGGAGAAGCCGGATGCGATGCGACTCGGTCATGCCTGAGACAAGCCCTTTTAGAAACACAAAAGAAGGATCTGGCTGACGAAATATTTCCACAAGTAAAGACAAACTTAGGGATTCTGGATGACTGGGTACATTTGCAGTTTCCAAAAGATAGTGAGAAAGAATCCTGTACAACAGAGCCAGCAGGAGCATCTAGGATCAATGTATGCCATTTTATAACAACAATGGCAGTTGTCGCAGTAATCGTGTCTATAATTTGCTATATCATATATATTTAACTAAGTCCAGGCAAATGAAAAATGTCGTTACCCCCCCCCCCACTCCCATACACACTCGCACATATATCAAAACAGCGTATACAATAAGAGAGCAAATAATATTACCACAGTAGTTTACTTTTTCTTGTTTGTTTGTCACACTTTTTGTTTTGTTTGTTTTTAACTTTATTACCTTCTACATGTGTAGAAACCAAAAAAGAACTGTCAAATTTTCTTTAACGTTGTAATAAAGCAATATTCTATTCTATTCTATTCTATTCATATACACTCATAATAGAATACAAACGAGATTAGCAAAGTCAAATTTAAAAGATTTATATCAGAATCAATTCTTGGCTGTTTATCTCTCTTTGATGTGTTGTATAAACGACTATCAGTTAATTGTATGTTCTCTATCGGTTAAAATTTATATGTTTCCAATATGTCCAATACAATTAACAATACTTGTCATTGCCCAAGACGCATTTTTTTCAAAATACTGCTTATTGAAACATTCATATTTACTAAACTTACTGTATTCAAATAATCACTGTCAATTCGTTGGTTGCAGATCTCAACATTAAACAAACTTTCATTCACTTTCATAATCAAGAGACCCATAAAGAATTGACAGAAAGCAGTTTACAGTATTTGTTTTTACATCAGGCAGTTTAAATCTGCTGTACAACTGGAGTACAAATACATGGCTGGATTGCTACAATAGTAACAACATTGATTATTGATTAGTATTTGTAAATAATTGAGTTTCAGAAACAATTTTTGTTTGTTTATCAGCTAACAATTTAAGACCTGGTTATTGCTATCACGCCTGACTTTATTTTTAAAATGTACATGATCTAACCATTCACATCGTGTATTTTCCAACTGAATCAATATTTTATGCTTAGCAAGGGAAAGGGATTGTGTTATTATCTTTCAGATAAAGAGCTTATCCAAGTGTCAACCAGGCCTGGTCAAAATCAAACAGATCCAATGTTCCAAACAAATTTGCATACAATAGTAAATAAATCTTACACATATTTTAAGGAGAAATATATGTTTTATTCTAGTGACATGCACAGTACATATACACTAATAATATATCTATGCAAAAGTCTATGTAAAATGTATAGCAATACCTGTATATATATTCAATATGTTACACTGATTAAATATTCACCCTGTAAAGAAATGTTGGCGTCTATAGATATAGCCGATTTAACAACCATAATTGAAAGCTATATATCAAATTATTACATTAAGTTACTTCGTGCGGTGCGGTGATATTAAACTTTATTTTGTCACTGCATTTTATCTTCAGAATTATGTTTTGTAACCATGGTTTCCATACATAACAATGAAAACACATTTCGTCATTAAAAACCCACTAAAAATGGTGTCAACTTTTAAAAAAAACACTTTATATAATGTTTCCAATGCATGTCACCGTGTAAAATTTATATTGAGTTATAAATATGTCATTTTGTGAATCAATTTTATCTCTTAACCGAGTATGATGAACCCATATTTTCATTTTTTACATTCTTGCAACATGAACTACCATTTGATTTTAAATACTTTTTTGTGCCAACATAAATAGTTAAGAGCACATAAAAAGTAAAACCAACCTGGCCAGAACCAAAAACATTGTGTCAGGCAGTAAACCAAGCAGTACCAGTAATTGTCAAGATACAACAACTCTGATACATGATTCAAGCAATTGTATTTTCTGTTAATAACTTACAAACTATTTCTGCAATTACTCCCTTATATTCTTCAATATTTCTGCAAATTAGTTTTGGAGCTGATAGAAAATATTTTCAGTTTTTACTAAAAGAAATTGGCTATTTTTGTCCCAATCATCTGAAGGAAAGTACAGAATATAAATAGGACTATTTTGTGAATTTGGGATGAACAGAGGTATATGTATAAATTATGAACAAGTCAATGAGAAACAGAATGAACACATGAATAAAGGGCTAACTGTCAAATTATCTTTGTTGCCACTGTAGTGTCTTTCACAAAACAGAGTTGATAATGTTCTGTACAATGAAATATTAGCTATTTGCCATGGTTAATAGTTTCCACAATGTTCTTGCCATATCACAACCAAGGCAGTGTATATGGCTGTTGCCATGGCAATTGCAATCATTTTGTTACAAATCTTTCAGACGTCCACCAAAGGTTATTGCATGCATCAAAGAAATCACACTGGTAGTTTTCAACAGGACAATAATATCATTCTTTTACCAAAAATGACAAATATATAAAATTGAAGATAGCATCACAATATGAACAAATCTGACAAAAGGTTCACCCATGGTACCTACATACCGTATATCAAAACAATTGAGCTGGATGTTTTCAAGAACAAGCGAAAATCGCATTTTTTAACGAAAATGACAAAAATATTTGCTAGAATTAGAAAAGAACGAATCTTTCAGAGGTCCATCTAAGGTGACTAACATAAAGCCATTGGGCTTGTAGTTTCCGAGAAGTTGGAAATGTAATTTATGACGGACAGGTGATAACAGATAATAATATGCGATCGGACATTTTTAATCAAATTACGAAATAAGATGCATCAGTAACCCATCAGCAGTGATGTCAATATCAATTTTTCGGGAATTTTTTTTTTCTTTGGTCAAAGAAGAATGAAAGAAAACACAAAAATGCATGCTCTATTTTGTCCCAGAGTCAACTTTGAACAATATTGTCCCATCTATTTTAGAGAATAATATCGGATGCACATATGCATGGACAGAACCCAAAGTACATGTCCACAATTTGGGGATTAACATTGCTAAGATTTCGCTGTACTTCAGTACATTTATCTTTATCTTCTAAATCTTGATTAAAGGATATTTGTCAGTTGGAGAAGTGATTCTATTACAACTACAAACTAGGTTGAAAACGGAAGTAATTCCTTATGTTACTTCTTCTTGCACTTTTCCACACCTGCAACAAGGTTTCTGAAAGATTTCCACACCGATGATAAATTGAAGCATATAAATCCACCCCCACGCTCCACTTGACTATCCTGTAAGAATGAACAAAAACTCACCATAAGACATGAATATTTGACATGACTGTATTTGAATAAATCAAACTTATTAAGTTTTGAAGAATCAAAATTTAGAGGACAAGACTTTGATTTTATCAACACAACAAATCTAGTACCAGTTTTGACAAATTTGGTAAAACTTGAAGCGAGAGAGTCGTCACCTGCGCATGCCTTAGATGGCCATAGCGTGTCATTGTTTACAAACAAGCGTCTACCCATGAGCCTTTGCATTTTTAGCGTGTGTGGTTATCATCGCTTGGGACTCAATTCCCATGTGTGCACAGGTGACACCCCTCCTGCTTTAACTAAAATATTTTTTTCTTCCAAAGTTTTGTACAAAAATTGTTTTCAGAAACGAGTTGGAGATTTTTGTCCTATGATTCGACCAATGAGCATAAAACTGATAATATAAAGTCATGTAACAGAAAATGCATGTATTTGTATTAGATATATTGAAATAGGAACCAAACTGTCGGTTAATTCCCCCAATGCATGTCCATTCTTTAGTCGTAGTAACTCCCCACTTGGAATGATCTTTTGTTGAAGTAAACGCTACATCAGGCATAGAAATGTTACGAATATTCTCTACATCAAGTTTTCCACAAAAAGATGGTGTTTTACCACGTCCATTTTGCCATGTCTCACTGTACATGTTATCCCCATAGTATGGAGCTAACCAGGCTGAAAATATATCTGAGGAGAAAATAAATTGATTTATTTTGATTAGATATTTTCATTGCTGTGATAAAAATGAGATCCCATACGTCACCTGACATTATAGGTTAGCAGCTCATGTCACTTATTGTGTACAATTTCTCTTTACTTGCCGAAAATTCACTACAAAAAGTCATCCTTCAAAGGACGGTAGTCATCGTGCCACGCATGTGCGAGATATGCGCTGGTCTCATATAAACAAAGATGGCGACTTTGACTGTTGCGCAGATCAACGAGTACAAACTGGTATCGAAGGAATTACTGGTAATGAGTGCAAGTCGCGCCCAGGTCAAACCTCATATTTGTGATTTCCATTAGAATAGCACATTGAACTATGGGAAAATCAAAGTTTATCAATACAAATGTCACACATGCGCATCGCAACGACCATCGTCCTTTAAGTTTATTTGAGCTTATCTATGTACCTTGTAATAACATTGTCTCAGCTACAATGAAAGTCTGCATTATTACAATACCAATTTTTGAAAATACATGTACAAGATAATACGAGATAAACTCTTACAATGTAACTGAAATCATCCCATCACTACGATAATACTTCGAAATATGCACAAATGCAGATCAAGAATTGTATCAACCAACACGTTGCAGCGGTCGATGAGATTCCTTACTGCCTGAATGCATACTTTGTAGACATAACAGCCATAAACAAAAAAACGTTTGACATTAAGCGTATGATTGCAGTGACATTACGATTCAACTGAAAATGCTTGGACCACAACACATTTCCAGCAACGACCGATCACATCACATCTATAGCCAAAAATACACTGTGTTAGTGATGATCTATGGTATTAAATACAAAACTGGGACTGTACATTGTCAATGTTTGTCAACGTAAATTGTTCTAAAAATACAGTAAGTGCATTAAAAGCTTGAATTTGACAGACTCCTCCATATCATAATATACCATTGCCCATATTTGGACATTGCATTATGTCATTTCTTTTCATTATCAGAGGAATATTATGCATTTCATTGGCCCTGAATCAGCAAAACATGTTGAGATGTTTGAGTACAAAAAAGCACATCAAGTTTAATACAAACAAGCTCACACGAAAAATTTCACAATGCACCACGTGAAAGACATTGAATATTTGATAATAAATGAATCAGCATAAAGTACTGCGCATGATCCAGACCAGACACTATCTCGCATATAACCTACACTTCATCTGATATGCACTGATCAAGGGTTGTTCATTATTGTTATATTAAAGTGAAGATAAAAGTTAGTATGGCAGAAAAACTGCATATGTTGACACTGAGGGCGCTATTCCAAATTATGACACACACACACTTCACTTCTCTTTTATGTTGAAAATAAGTTGGTCACCTACATTGCGCCATATTTTGAAGTAGCGTCTTCAGGGTTCAACATTGAGCACAGTACATTCAACACTTGGAGTGCCAGACATTATTCCATCCAGAATTTAGTGCAAATAATTTCATATTTTGTAGAATTTTCACTAAATTTCATCATCATTTTGGACTATACAGACAGTTCCACACATTGTTTTAGTTTTTGATCAAAAAATTTGTTGATTATGTGACGAAAAGCAGACAAAACAATTCTGTAAATGGTGCCAAAAGTTGACAATGGTGCTCACAGAGGGAAACCTGTGACTAATAGAAATCACATTTCTTTTGTTGGAAAATACAAGTCAACATTTTAGGTATGTTCTTATGTTTAACAAAAATCTTTAAGATCTCAAGAACTATATCATTATCTCCACTGTACTGTTTTCGAATTTATGCATACTCGCTATACAAAACAATTTTCGCCAACGATGTGTTTTCGCCTGATATGACCTGCAACATTGTCCTCACACCTGATAGGTTAAGTCTGTTTAAGCAATCAGAATGCAGTGTTGTGCCGACGCAATTCACCAGGAATTCCTGAAGGCATTCTCATAACGTAATGCGGAAGTGGATTAATGATGTCGAAGCACGTAAAATTTATCAAGCATGGACGCTAAGGCAGACAAGTACAGTAGATACATGCCCAGTTTTGAGAATTCAGTGGAAAATGTGTTAGAACAAAATGCCAAAGATGACGTAATCAGATGCAAAATAATGTTACTAATATCTCACCATACCTTTTCCATATTGACTACTTTTAGCAAAACAATGAAACTTCTGACCACCTTGTGAAATTAGCTCAGTGGATCGGTTCCAGGGAGGGTCAGAGTTATGCTTTCCTTTGGCTACCTGTACAAGATCTGGAAGGTTTGCAGCAAATAATTTGGGAATGTTGTAGTCAAACACTGATGGCCAGTAATATAACAGTTGTCTAGCTGAGCAAATAAAAGAACATTAAAAGTAATTAATATAGACACACTGTACCAATGCTATTAGTGCTTTACTGCACCATGAGTTGTTACATTACATTACATTACATTACACTATGATAAATGTTGATACAATACATTACATTACACTATGATACATTACACTATGCTTCACTTAGATACACTACAATACATTACACTATGATTCACTTAGATACAATACATTACATTAAACTATGATACATTACACTAGGATTCACTTAGTTACACTACAATACATTACATTACATTATGATACATTACACTATGATTCACTTAGTTACACTACAATACATTACATTACATTATGATACATTACACTATGATTCACTTAGATACACAACAATACATTACATTACACTATGATACATTACACTATAATTCACTTAGATACAATACATTACATTAAACTATGATACATTACACTATGATTCACTTAGATACAATACATTACATTACACTACAATACATTACTCTATGATTCACTTTGATACAATACATTACACTATGATTCACTTAGTTACACTACAATACATTACATTAAACTATGATACATTACACTATGATTCACTTAGATACACTACAATACATTACATTACACTACGATACATTACATTATGATTCACATAGATATACTACAATACATTACTCGATGGTTCAGTTTGATAAACT